AAAAAAATCTGAAAGCTTTCAGATTTTACATTACGCCCAAAGGAACTTTTCTTAACGTTTTGTATGTTACCTTTATTTATTAAATACCATGTTCTTTGCACTTCAACCATAAAATTCAATTCAACAGCAATACTGCAAAATAATTTTTAAATGAGCATATCTTTAGAATTTCCGATGCACAGTTCCACGCGCTGGAAATAGGTTTTCCCCCATAGAGTGTTGCCATTGCTCATTTTTAAATCATTGAGTTTGTCGATCAAAAATTCGTTAAAGTGTTACAAAATATGAAATCGATAATAAAACAAATTCCATGTTTGGGCTTCCAGATGTCCATATTCAGTGGAAGATTACGTTATTCAAAATTTGATGGTTCTAGGTACCGTTGTTTTATCAAAATGCGAGAATTATTTAAGCAGATAATTAAAATTTATGCAGATTCTTCATTATTTCATTTCTTTAAATAATGAAGGCGATAGTATTTGGTGGCAACAATTTGAAAAGTGATTCTCAGTTTATAGTGAATCGATGCAAAATGCCAAAACGAAATTAATAGCCCTTTGGGTTAATAATATAGAATGGTTCATCAGCTTATTCTGGATTAACAGAAATGCAGTGATTTTTCTAGGAGAGAGGGGTTCAATTGAATCTGATTTACCACTTCTTGATAACATTGAATCAGATTTTAATTGCATTCCTTTGCCTATATATTTTTTGTTATTTTGTATTCCCTTTCCCTGTATTTTTTTATGAATATTTGTTAAATTTTACATATTTATGGTAAATTTGGACTCTATTGTTATTAATTTCATTTCTTTCATGTCTTTGTGGATTTGGTTCTAAATTTCTGTCCTTTTGTCTATAATTGATTAATTTTCAGCAGCATTTGCATGGAAATGATATTGGGATAATTTCTTTTAAATTAAGAAATTTATGATACTGTAAAATATATAAATATATATATATACAATATGTGCCATGTGCACTTTGAATGTTCATATTCAGCCAACTTTTATAGAGTACATCTGTGAACTTAGTAATCATCCTCATATGGTTAATGACAAGGCAAAAACCTTTTATGGTAGTGTTCTGTTCTTTTCTGATACATTTTTTTCTTGACTTTGTACATTTTTTCCACACTCAGAAGCATTAGGTGGCTGCTTCATTTCTTATGGTGAACATTTCCAGTTTCTCAAAATAACATTACCAAGCTGGAAGTCCAGGTCTTGTTAGGTTCCTGAACTTATTGGAAAGCATTTCACCAGCTTTTCCGTACGAATGTATTGCACGGAAATGCTCGTAAAAGTTTGTTCTGCTTCGGAAAACCCATCTCCCTCTTGCACGAAATGGTTTTAAAACTAACAGCCTAAATTGCAACTGGAATTTCAAGTCATGTATTACTTGTAAGCAGTATATCGGTGCCATCCATTGAAACAATTTGCCATTTATATCCATTTTGGAGTTTCCACAAGTTTTGAGAATTTTGATCTGCATGACTTTTGATCACCCTGTGTATCAGCAATTTTGTTGCATATTACAATATTAAAGTATTCTTGTTAGAAAACTTATATACCGTATATCTTGCTTAAAGTGTTCGAGTTAGAGTAGTTATGGTGGTTGTGACAGATGTGAATGAAATGAAATAGCCAAAGCATTTCAAGCCTAAGACAAACATTTATCATCACAAAATAGGCTATTTATTACAAAAAATACAGGTGGGAATCATAAAATGAAATAGTAAATAAAAGTCTAAAGCAAACATTTATCATCACAAAATAGACTCTTACCAAAAAAATACAGGTGGGAATCAAAAACATCTACTCAGGTGCCCATGTGCTAGATATAAAACTTTGCCTTCACCTCTAGAACAAGTTGAATTACATTTGAACTCTGAAATTACATGTAAAATATTCCTAGAAAAACGCATGAAACAGGAGAGCTCCTTTCTTTTCATGTTTCTCCAAACTATATGGGCACACTGATAGACTGTCTTATTTTGTTCTGTTGTATATATAATGACTTTCTGCTCTTCGTTCATACTCTCAGAATCCAGAACACGAGAAAGTTATGTTTCAATTAATATCAAATTCTTTTTTTCCTAAAAGAAATTTAATAATGTCTGTTATTATGTGGGTTGAATTTTTTTAAATAGACCTGCTCTGCTCAAATTTACACTGTTCTCCAAAGGTTTAGGAATAATAATTTTTCCACCATAGCGTTACAAAAATTGATGATAAGGTTGTCAAATAAAGTTTATAGAAGTTATAATTGCACAATGCAATAAAAAATATATAAAATAGAAAAATGCCACTATTTGTTTAGCAAACATTGCTATTTAAAAGATAAGTGCAGAGATCTATGGTGATGTGCTATTAAAAGATATGCAGAGATATTTCTGCAAATGTTTTGAAAAATCGTTGGTGCTTGTTGAATTTTTAAAACTAAAATATTGTAAATCATGTCCCGAAGGGAAGCCTGTAATTAAGCTAAATCGGCAAGGTGGCTACATATCGGTCGCAATACGTTCACGAAATCCGAATTTTGTTTTAAAAAATGTACGGTGTCGAGATCATCATCTGCGACAATTCTTGAGGACCGCTAGCCGTTTCTTTAGGATAGAAAAGGACAACACTTTGTTGCCAGTCATTTTGTAGCCTTAAGTAGTATACCTGCATTTATTGTAAAAAGAGGATTGCAAATGCAAGATCTGTTTGCCGGGAGACTATACTTGACTCACTCCTTTACATAAAGCACAGCAAAGGAGATCAGCAAGAAGGCACATCACGTCAAACAGAAAGCTGTGGTCCTCAGTACCCTTAACAGATGAATACAGGACTGTCTACATTGTCACTTGAGTCATGCTATAATGTGGAGCAATGTATATGATGTAAAGAACAGGAAGACGGTGGGCCTTACACCAGACTTTTGTCACTGGTAAATACAATTGCAACTGGGGTAGAGCTAACTGGAAAACTGACCCCAGCTATGTTGAAGAACACTTCGGGGTATAGATTTGAGGATCTTCCTCCTGCTTACCCTACCACCAAGCCACTCGAGAGGAATTTTAGCTCTCCAGTATTTTAAATGCCGTCATTCCGCACATACAGTATACCCTTATAAACATCCATGCTTTGTCCCAATATTATGAAACCAACATCGCTAGCCACTTTACCGATTAGGACGGCAATGTTACATACAGGCGATCACTGTTAAAAGGAACATTTATGAAGGCAGAAGTTATATCGACATATGGGAAAGAATCACTTTAGACAGTCAATCTTAAGTATGTTTATGTTTTCCTGATAAGATATATTAGGCCAGCTTGTATCATTAAGATCATATGCTGCCACCCAGTTGATGAATTCTTTGTTTTAATGGTCTGCCAAGTAGTACCCGTATATTCGACCATGATCAAGGTGTTCAGTGAATGGCTGCTCATCTATAAGGGGCAGCCAAATGAAAACGAGACAGACTATATAACGAGCATGGCGCAGAATTTGGTAACGCATGTAAGTTTGTATACAGAAGCGCTCGCTATTAGGAATTAGGAAAGAACAGAGCGAACGGTTATAACTCTGTTATTTAAGTGAGGCCGGCGACTCGTGTGTGCGCCCCCATTACTATGGTGGCCGGGAAAGAGACACATCGTGCTGTAGTGCGTTTTTCGACTACGGAAGGAGTATCAGAAAGTGAAGTTTATGTCCGAACGTCTGCTGTGTATGGGGAATATAGTATGTTACGTGAGGGTGTGTTTGAATGGAATAAACAATATCGCAAAAGTCAGGTGTCATTAAAAACAGCAGTCGCCCAAGAAAGGCTCTACCCCTTCTGTCATTGCTGCGGTGTATGCTGCTGTCAGAGAAAGCGGACGGTGGAACACATTCGATTCATGTTGAGCATTTTCAACGGTACCGCTACGCCATCTTGACCAAGCATCTGAAAGTCCGGAAAATCTGTGCATAGGGAATTCTCCACAGTCTGACGGAGGGGCAGAAGTTGAACAGAATGTTGACATCACTGCAGCACCCGGAACAGTATTAGGATGAAGAATATCGTCTCCTGTCCCGTATTGTCGATGAAACATGGTGTCATCATTTTGAGCCAGAGAGTTAGCGTCAGAATCAACAGTGGAAGTACACAGGTTCACCCTCACCGAAAAAAATCCAAAGTCGTGCATGCCAATTCCGCAAAAGTCATGCTGAACGTTTTCTTTGACTGCAAGGGCCCGCTGCTCATGGATTTTCTGGAACACGGTGCTATAATTAACCCACACTGGTATGTGGACTCTTTGCAAAAATTGAGCGGGCCCATGATTCACCAGACGCTCAGAAATGTTGACGGACGGCATTATTCTGTAGCAAGAAAATGCCTGCCCACAGTTGTCACGGTACCATCCAGATCTCTCCCATTGCGATTTAGAGATTTGTGGAGCGCTGAAGAAAGACACTCGTGGCCGTCGGTTCGCTTCGGACGAAGAGGTGCATCCGTGGATGCAGTCATGTTTTCATGAGAAACCGAAATGATTTTTCCAACACGGCACTGACTGTCTTGTCTAACAGTGGGATAAATGTATTAAGAGTTATGGCTGTTACTTATGAACTAAAAAACAATTTAATTTTTTTTTTCCATTTGTCTTGTTTTCATTTGATTGCCCCTTATAGATATGATCTGCATTGAAAATCTTAATCTGAACTAGCATGTATTCCTTGAAGCCCATGTGCTCTTTTGACTCAACGTACGGGACCATATCAGAAAAAAGGAAACCTTGCTTTATTCCTCCCACTAAGATCCTTGAATGAGCTGTATTAAGACACATGTGTGATCTTTGCTTCCAAAAATGTTCTGAAAAGTACCTGGCAATTTAATCAGTAGCTTGGAGAAGAGGTGAGAAAATTGCATTAACGTCAAGGAAGAGCATATTCTGTGTAAAAACTGTTCTACTTTAGTTGAGCGAAAAAACTTAACCTGTATACCTGATTAATCATGTGTTTTCTAATTTTTACTTTTTTTTTTTTTTTTTTTTTTTTTTTTTTTTTTTTTTTTTTTTTTTTTAAGGAGTACGACATGTACAACTTTTGTAATATGCAGTAAACTGTTTACATGTTCTGTATTTCTAATTTTCCCATTTCCTGCCTTCCCCGCTTTGAAATGTCTGCCCTAAAATCTTTTTGTTCCTTAACATTTAGAGAACAATTTATTTCTTAAGATTCATATTATATATTGATATAAATAAAATATCAGTTTTATTAACTTATTTAATTTTTTTAAACAATACTGCTGAAGGTAGTTCATAAATATACTAATTGAAGTTGTTCCAAAATGTGCTACTCTAATTCTGAAATATATTTAAAAAAATTAAATTTGCATATTATTTGAATAAAAAAATTATATTCTATAATTTTAAACCACTTAAATATTGTCTATCACATTTATCACAATATAAACATACAAATTGAAACTGGTATGTAGCTAAATAATGCCTAGTAGTTGACAAGATGCAAGCACAGTATGAACTATATCATGACTTAGATCTCATATTCAGTGAAAGTCTTGCAATTGGTTAGACACTTTAGTGTCTGGAGAACTACGTAAGATATCAGTGACAGTTTTTGCAGTTTTTATGGAATCCTTAGATTTGAAAGTATGGCTGAAATATCTATCACTATAAAAATTTGTTTTCATCTTCACAGTACTAACGTAAGGTACTGCTTGCTTACAGTTATTTGTTGGTAATTTTGCTTGAATGTAAGATCCTTGCTGGCGTCCAAATTCACAGTTGTTACGCATGCTACTCTGAATTGGAAAATCGCAAGGTTCCCAAGGACGTCTAGAGGTTTGAGCTGGATCGCTAATTTTTCCGATAGGTAAGCAGTTTGATGCAGTCACAAAACCTTCGACGCCGTGTGGTGTCTGAACATATAGCCAGTCTGATTCTTGGTATAGCGCCGTCACTAATGTACCCATTGGCAAGGAAGTTTGTTGAAATGGCGGTTTGCATCCTATGTGTGAATGTAATCTAGAACACTGCATGACTACCATCGGTACATTAGCTGGAGAGGCTTTCGATGCATTGCATAGCAACCTGTTTGCGTCGATATCTTCGCTAGTCGACGTTTTTACGCAGTAGTTTATTTCTTCAAATTCTTGCTGTTCTTTACGATTTTGGCAAGGGCGGTTGCGGCACATTTCAGTAGAATGCTGTGTACTTTTGTCTAAGAAAAGGTTGTCTGTTTCATGGTTGTTTCGTTGCTTAAGCTGTACTGTATTTGAGTTTTCCCTTACGTCTATAATGTTTTCTAAGCTCCAAGGTGGAAAGCGTTGCGATTTATCTTTCTTTTCTTTATCATCTGGCCAAGTGTTATTCGCTGACTCACCAATTCTTGCTAACCACTCTTGAATGCTTTCTTCGGTCTTAATTTGAGAAATTTCTGATAGTGGGTTATTCATGTCCAGAACATCATTTGTTAGCTTCTTTGATTTGTCATCAAGTTTATCCTTGTTTGTCCTCATGTTCTGAAACTTATCTCGGGCAGTCCTTTGAACTATATGTTGTCTAGATAGATCATTTTTGTTGCCATGACTAAAAAGTGGCTGGGGAAGTATTTCGCTTTTTTTATCACTGATTTTGGTAATTGGTCTCATAAGCGAAAGCGGGAAAGATCGATCTTTAATGTTCCGTTTTGGTTTGGCCATTGTATTAAAATCTACTGGGTTTTCCTGACTATCTATTTGGCCATCTAATTGAAGTTTATCACAACCAGAATGTTCTATCACACAAGAATTAGATTTATCACAGTTTCTTAGAGCATCACCACTTAATTGCCGGTGTCTAAGTACCGACCAAGTAAGACCAGTTTGCTTTTGATCACCAGAATGATTTGTTTCGACCTTCGAAGTATCATTACTGTCATCCGTGCATTTAGATCTGAAATCTATTTTGCACTGTGGAACGTAGTTTGATGTTGGCATATTTAATTGATTCATTTTTATAGGCACGGTATTTTCATCACAGTCTGGGTCTTTCTGACTAGCACTATTGGCATCGACTTCAGGCTCCGATTTTATGTAGTCGCTGGATTGATCATAATGTTCTTTTCTTTCACTTTGGTTGGATGCACATTCCATAGTCTGATCTACGTTTTCGAGGGAGAGATTAGCATCATTTTTGCTTTTGGTAATTTCCAACCAATTTTTTGAAGATAGTCCATAAGCTGGGTTTTCCGTTACTTTTAAATCTAGATCAGCAGACTGTAAATTCACTTCCCACTCGTAAGATGGCAAACTCTGAAAACAGAAAAAAAGGTCTGATTATGCTTATCATTTGAATTTAAAAATTGCCCTTCACAGAAATAATTTTCAGATGTATCAGTTTCTCATTAATATAGTTTAACAAATGAATCTTGTTTTGTTCAGTTTAAAATGTGTGAATCAAAGCAGTCATTCTCTAGACTTTACAGTTTTATAAGATTTCAAAACATCATTTATGTGGTGGATTATTTAATTTAATAAAAACAAGAAATTTGAAAATATTAGGGAATTTATGCTATAGGGTGTATAAAATCTTAAATAACAAATCAGGCAAACTCCGGTTGCTAGAACGGCATTTAAGGCAACAATTATTAACAATTAACTGACTTGCTATATTTGATATATTTGATATATTGCTATATTTGATATATTTGACTTACCATATTTTGATAACTACTTCTACTAGATAATAACCAAGGAGGTTAGAATAGAAGGAGGGAGGGTTCGCATTTTCCTCTACTATCGGGGAGTGAAACTCCACCGAACAAGCGGCGTCCATGTTAGTAACTTCAAAACATTGTATTACGGCAGTGAAACATACGTGTTTTTAAGCTGTTCCGTGCATGTATTTTCCACTAAAAATATGTAAAATTTATAATGAAATGCTTTGCTATTGTTAGTATTTTGTTTTAAAGTTATAAAGATGATATCCGTAATTTGCTACGTACAGAAAACCATTAAGAAATAGTTCGAAATCTAAATGCATGTGCATAACATTAAGGCCTTTAAAAATAATGTTTCTGCATTTTTCAAGAATTTGTTTAGGTTTTATTAGCAACCTGTTGGGTGTACTTTCCAATTTTTCCTTTAAGAAGTTATATTTCTGATTTATTCACAATACTGTAATTTATTAAAGAATCATTTAAAAAAATTTTAACCTAAAATGAATAGCAGATAATTATCTAAAAAGATAGTCACAGGTTGCTTTTTTTTTTAATGAAAGTTTTAAATAGATTCTTTTCACAACCAACAATCTTATAACAACAAGAAAATAAATATTACTAAAATAAAACAGATTTATGTGAATTCAGTGATTTCAGTTTATGCGCGTTTCATATTCATGAATCTCAAAGAAATTGCCTTGAATTAAGCTGAATTACAGAAATAGACCTATACCTATATTTTTGCATACGTCTTTCCACATGTTCAGTTGTGTAAATATTTTACTTACTTTTATCGCTATACTGTCCACAAATTTAAATTTATGCAAAAGAAATTTTAACAACAGAAGAGTTAGTTTATCTTGATCAAATGCACAAATTATACTCCTAACAGTTCACAAAACTTAAAAATGAATAATAATTAATACATAAAAAAAGCATTACTTTGTTTAGCACCTTTACAATTCATAAAAATAGTAACAATTGGTGTCTTACTTTTCATGAAAATTATCAAACGAATTACCTAAAACGTTCAAATTATACAGTTTAAATCCTAGCATACATCATTGTATGTTAAGGAACAAAGATGTCAGCTATAAACAGAAACATTAAAATGTATTTCCCATATTTTGATTATTATTAAATCCTTTCTTCACATCTGGAAAGAATACAACATGACATTGTGATATTTTTTACCTAAGTTATCAAATTACATAAAAAAGAGAAAATCAATACTTACGCGTGAAAAGTAATCCCAGGAATCTTTTTCGAAAATCTGTTTGTGCATCCATATACAACACAAGATGACATTCTTCAAAAAGAAAAGAAAAAAAATATTGCAATTACAGACTTCCTTGCACAAGTCACAGCGATAACAGGAACATGGCTGCCAAGCTTCGCCGTTTGAGTTGAACGTTCCCTCCTTCTATTCTAACCTCCTTGATAATAACTACTACTTTCCCTTCACCTATAGTTTCCGTTTAGTTTCGGAGGTTGTCATGGCTGAAATCAGCAAGGAGTTATCGAGCGCTACCAAGAATAATAAAGATGTTATATATGAAAAAAACTTATTCTTGCTTTTGTTTTTTGCCGTTTAAATTATTATAAAAAAGAACTTTGCAAGCAACTACATTCTTGGTGACCTCGGAATTATTGATAAAAATGTCAGAAAGTGAAGAATCGGCGACTAAAGACGAAATAGCATGGGTAAATGTGAAAATACCTCCCTTTTGGGCTGAAAAGCCAGAGATATGGTTTTATCAACTAGAAGCACAGTTTTCTATTTGTGGAATAACTACCGAGGAAACTAAATTCAACTACTTAGTTTCGCAATTGGAGCAAAATTTGTTGAAAGTTTTGTGGGATATTATAAGTGACAATAGCAAAACCAAATATACTGCTGCTAAAGAACGTCTCTTGAACACTTTTAAAGAAAGTGAAAATAAATGTTTACAGAGACTGCTAACAGGCATAGACTTGAGAGATAGTACACCTAGTCAACTTTTACAAAAAATGCAAAATCATGCTACTGATGGCATTTCGGATAAAGTTCTTAAAACACTATTTCTGCAGAAAATGCCAGATTCTGTGAGCAATATTTTAATCCTTAGTGATGAAGATATCGAAAAACTGGCTCTAATGGCCGATCGTATCTTCGAAATGCAACCGAAACAAGAACTATACTGTGCCAGCAGTATTGTTTCTCCAGGAGCAGATGCTATTGCTGAATTACGACAACAAATTGCAGCTTTGGATAATAAACTCCAAAAACTAACTGTCACAAGAAATTCTCGTCCTCGCTCAAAAAATAGCAGTCGATCATCTATTGATCGAAGTAAGTCTCGCAGCCGTTATAACCCTAATGTTAAGTACTGTTATTTCCACTTTCGTTATCGGGAAAAGTGTTTTCCTGATAGATGCAAAGCCCCCTGTGCATGAAAAAACCAACTTCCCGGAAAACGAAAATCAGCAGTAAATTTAGCGACAGACTCTGCTGCAGTAAATAAAGAAAATTGCCGTAAATTCCGCTTATTTATCACGGACCAAAAAGAAAAAAAAAAAAAAAGGTTTAAATTTTCTGGTTGACGGTGGAGCAGAGGTAAGCCTTATTCCTCGTACTTCTAAACACAAACTTATAAGTGACTATAAATTATATGCTGCAAATAATACAGAAATCGATACTTTTGGTACAGAAGTTTTAATTCTTGATCTTGGTTTACGCCGAGAATTTCAATTCCCATTTATTGTAGCAAAAGTTAGTAAACCCATATTAGGTGCAGATTTTTTTAAATAAGTTCAATTTATTGATTGATATAAAACATAAAAGGTTAGTTGATGGTGTGACGAACCTCGCAGTTTATGGTGACATCGCACCTATCTCTATTAATGAAACTGTAAATACAACGCATAGCTTATGTAAATATTCTGATTTATTTGCTATGTATCCTAGTATAACAAAACCAAATTTTCTTATTTCTACTGTAAAGCATAATGTGAAACATCATATTATAACTAATAACTAACTACAACCTGTAAATTGTAAAGCAAGACAATTAGACCCTAAACGGTTGGAAATAGCTAAAAGAGAATTCAAATATATCCTGGACAATAACATAATTAGTCCGTCCAGTTCAAAATGGGCAAGTCCCCTACACATAGTAACAAAGAAAGACGGTTCTTTCCGCCCGTGTGGGGATTACAGAAGACTGAATGATTTAACTGTATCTGATCGTTATCCCATTCCTCGAATTCCAGATTTTCAACATATTTTAACTCATAAAACTATATTTTCACGTTCCACTAGCAGACGAAGATAAAGAAAAAACTGCCATCATCACAACTTTTGGTATTTAACAATTCAATGTCATGAGTTTTGATCTCAAAAATGCCCCCGCAACCTTTCAGAGGTTCATCAATGAAGTTTTTTATGGCCTAGACTTCGTGTTTCCATATTTCGATGATGTGTTGATTGCCTCTTCTTGCGAGGAAGAACATCGTTTACATCTTAAAACAGTTTTCCAACGTTTAGATAAATATGGTCTCCGAATTAATATTAGCAAATCAGTTTTGGGAGTACCTGTAAATAGACTTTGTGGGCTATCAAATATCTGCTGTAGGTTCAAAACCTCTACCTCAAAAATTTAAAGCTATCATAAAATATCCATTGCCAGAAACTATACATCAACTTCGTTCCTTCTTAGGAATGATCAATTTCTATCGTAATTACATAAAAATGCCGCGCAGAAACTCAAGCTTCTCTTCATGAACTTTTGAAAGGATCTACGAAAAAAAAAAAAAAAAAGTTTTGAAAAATGTAAACGAGATATTGCTCAGGTACCGTTGATGGCCTACCCCAATTCGAATACCCTCTGGCACTTCTCACAGATGCATCCGATTTGGCTATTCGGCCAGTTATTCAAGAAAAAGAACCAAATAAAGGGAAGCCTATTGCATTTTTTTTCAAAAAAGCTTAATGATGCCCAGAAAAATTATAGCGCTTACGATCGCGAGCTTTTGGGTATACATTTATCCGTTAAATTTTAACAAACATCATTTCAAACATTTACTTGAAGGCCGCGATTTTACTATTTATACGGATCATAAGCCCTTAACATTTGTTTTTAAGCAAAATAATAACAAAGCCTCTCCCAGACAACTAAGACAGCTATAATATATCTCACAATTCTCTACTAATCTACGCCATGTAAGTGGTCAAAAACAATGTGGTTGCAGACAGCCTATCTAGAATTGAGGACATCGATTCACTTGTTGTCGATTTTGACCTGATAGCAGATACACAAATTAATGATGATGAACTGCAACAGTTGAAATTACATTCCAAATCATTGCATATTAAACAGCACCAAATACCATCAGGAAAACTCTTATATTGCGATACCTCTACTTGTAATATCAGATCATTCATACCTAAAACTTTTCGGATGAAAACATTTAATGCAATTCATGCTTTATCTCACCCTGGAATCCGAAGTACTGTAAAAGAGATTACTAAAAGATTCATTTGGCCGGATATAAAAAAAGATGTTAAACAGTGGGCCCAAACTTGTATCGATTGTCAGAAAAATAAAGTAACTAAAC